GGGTGCGGGGGCCACCGGGCCGGCAGGGGGCGCGGGCGGCGGTTCCGGGTGCGGCGGGGTCCGGGGGGCGCGCCCTGGAGCTGGCCGAAGCGCGGCGGCGACTGCTGGAGGTGGAGGGCCGCCGGCGCCTGGTGTCGGAGCTGGAGAGCCGCGTGCTTCAGCTGCACCGCGTCTTCCTGGCGGCCGAGCTGCGCCTGGCGCACCGGGCCGAAAGCCTGAGCCGCCTGGGCGGTGGCGTGGCGCAGTCCGAGCTCTACCTGGCGGCGCACGGGTCGCGTCTCAAGAAGGGCCCGCGCCGGGGCCGCCGCGGCCGCCCGCCCGCGCTGCTCGCCTCGGCGCTGGGTCTGGGTAGCTGCGTGCCCTGGGGCGCCGGACGCCTGCGGCGGGGCCGCGGCCCGGAGCCGGATTCGCCCTTCCGCCGAAGCCCGCCCCGCGGCCCCGCCTCGCCCCAGCGCTGACCTCAGCGCCGCGACCCCTGGCCACCCGACAGGCCGTTGCCGAGGCGCGCGATGGAGGACTGCGGACCGCGTCCCTGACGCGGATGGATGGACTGGTCGGTCACAGGAAGAGACAGTCGGGCGGCCGGGGGACCAGTAAAGGAGGCTGAGGTGCGGTCTTAGCGGCTGGTGCTTCCAGGGGGCGGGGAGGGTGGTGCAGGGGGCCGGATCTCCCTTCCTGGGGGCTTCTGGAGCCCGCTGGGTCCCTAATAAAGTTGTCCACCTTCTGTTGCGGCCTCTCCCAGACCTGGGAAGCGAGGCGGCAGCACCAAGTCCCTGTGATAGAGATGGACAGATGGAGGGTGCTCAGACCCCAGGAAGGTTTGCCAGCAAACTTTTACCAGGTGGAGCCCGCTGCGCTGACGCAGCACTCCCTCCGCCTCCCCGGCACCTGCATTGACTTTGCTGAGTCCCTTGGGGCTGTAAGGAGAGTCTTGCCCTTGAGGCTGCTGTTTTCTGACACCTCCTAGCTCCATACCTTTGGGCGGACAGAATAATGAAGTCCCAAGATGGGGTGGGGGCTGGTACTGAGTTCTCTCCTAGGCCCTGTTTTCCATTGGTGAGATGGAATCCCAGAGAGATTGAGGGGTTTCGTCCCACAATGCGGCAGCCCTTCCTCTTCTAGGAGAGGGTTTTTTCTCATGCCCTCAGGCAGCTTAACCAGTGTTTGGAAACTGCCTAAAGCCTCACTTGTTCTCTGAGGGACCCCTCCCCCCAACCTGGCTCTAAAATGGCTCTGCCAGGGATGGAGTCAGGTAACGTCTTTTAACAGGCCCAAGGGGGCAGGTATGTCATTGGCTTCTAGAAAGGGGGTCCTTAAAGGGCCAGACCTGAAATGACCTCTGCTTCTTTCTGTCCACATGCCCTTCCCCAGCCCCCACTCAGCTGTGAATGGCCTCCCTGCTGCTTTGCTGCTCACCAGCTGAGTTGACTGCAGCCTTCACCTCCAGGAAGGGCTGTAGTGAGGTTAACACAGGGCAGAGGTCTGACTTCTCCCCCATGAGTCATGGAAGAATGGTTTATTCTCTTAAGTCACACCTAGAAACAGGCAGGGCTTTTGCTGGTGGAGTCAGGAGCTAATTTAAAGTCCTCATTTTGCAGAGTGGCAAGGTCACATGCCAGCAAAGGGACAGAACTAGATCCCAGGCTTTCTCTTCGTGTCTCTCCCTGCGTAGGGGCAGGGGCTAGAGAGAACCAATGTCCAGCTTGTCCGCCGTGTGACCTGGAACAACTCTGCCCCCTCTTTGGGCTGGTTTCCTCAGCCTCTCTCTGGATATAGCTGCCCCGCCTCATGTCAGGACTTGGGAATGGGGAGGTGGGGGTAGAATGAGAATGTCCGAATCTGGTTTAATCCTAGAGTCCTGAGGGTCAGGTGTACTGCTCTGAAAGGCAGAGTCCCAGGGCCTCTCACCTGACCCTCCATCCCCCATCAGCCTTTTCTTTCCCCAGGTACCAAACTTTTGGGTTGGTTTCTTAGCTAACAGCCAGGCCTTCCTGAACCCATTTTTAGCTGGGGAAGGAAAGTCCAGGGGAGGTCTCAGAGACTGAGGAGAGCTTGGGGACCAGGAGAGCAGTAGGTGGCCCTGACATCCTCTGGCCTCCCCAGAGAGGAGAACCTTCTGAAGCTACTCTGGTCTTTGGGGTCTGGAGGTGAAGAAAGGACAATGACTTTGCAGGAGTGACACAGTGAGGAGCTATGGCCACAGCACTGGGGTGTAGCCAGACTGTTTGTTTTCTGGGTTGCACAAAGAGCACTTGGTCCAGAGAAGCTTTTAGCTAATGGTGTATAGTGCTCTGTGCCACCACAATTTTGCCTTTCTCTGGGATTTATTAGTAATCAGCTTTGTCCTGATTTGGAGGTGGAGGTGGGGGGAGGGAATTAGAGATGGTAGGAAATGGAGATGGTGCTGGAGTCACAGGCAGCTCTGCCTCCTCCCTCCACTTCCAGATGTCCCACTGCTTCCCACCAAGGACCTTGGCCATGTCACGTGGCGCTCAGTAGCTTGAACCCCAGCTCTTGGTTTAGTGCTCTGCCCACTACCCCCTCAGCCCAGGGCCTCCTCTAGGAAGCTCCATTTTCTTCTCAATCAACAAACATTGACATCTACTCAGTCCAGGGGCTCAAGAAGCAGCACTTAATCAGAGGGTGTCTGCTTTGAAGATTCTGTGTCTCCCAGTCCTCCCCTAGGCAGCCTTTCCTGACAGTCACCATCCCAGGGGACCCTCTGGGGGCTGGGCAATTTGTGGTGTTTAGAGGACTGTTTTTAGGCCTTCATAAATAAGTATAGCCTCTGATCAAGAAATTGACCCCCTTCCCTGTACCCCTCCCCGCCCCCCATGACTTCCTGAACACTTTCTTGATGGCCTCCAGCCCTGGGGACTGGACCTGTGCATTGAGGACATTATGGCTACCAGTGAATCTGCGATCTCAACAAAGGGAAATGAGGGAGGAGGAGCCTTTCTTCAGGTTAATTCCTGGGGCTGGGGAACCAGTTCAGAGTTCTAGTCTGGGACCTGTCCCTCCCCTGGGTAAGCCCCTTCCCTCTCTTGGCTGGCCCTAGCCAAGTGAAGGCATCTCTGGGTGGCGCCACCAGAGGGCAGTGTGGGGCTGCTTCCCTGGGTACCTGGGCGTAGCCTGGTGCAGCTAGACTCCCAGTGTCCCCGCCCCCAACCAGCCTCCTGATTGGCAGAAAAGGGGTTAGGGGAGGTCACTTAGAGAAGAGGCTCAAAGGAAGCCTTCTGGTTGGGCCAGTCCCATCAGGAAAGACTTTCCAGGAAAGAGGCTGCCCCTGTTGGTGATCACCAGGAGTCACTTTGCTTCTTACAGATTCCTTACACTGAAAACTCAACAAACATTGATGAACACCCTCTCCCACTGCCACCTGGGGACCAAGGTGGCTTCCTAAAGATGAGGCTAATGCCACAGGTCTTGGCTCAGGTGCTCCAAGCCTGCAAATGGGCGTCTCCAGGAGGCTCCTTCTCCTTGACAGCAGCTCTGGAGAAAACTGGGGGCCCAGGTTTCTCAGGGCTGGAGAGGTCTTTAGAGCCAGCAGGGGAGGGGGTGTTTGGGAAAGCTGGGAGGCCCCTAGCCTATTTCTTCCCCCATTAGTCCTGACCAGCCTCACCATAGCCAGAAGTCATGGGAGAAGGAATCCTTGGTTCTGGAATAATATATTAACCGCCTCCTCTATGCGGCACTGTGCTAAGCACTTTACACCCACTATCTATTTCAATCCTCCTAGCTATTCTGCAACGTAGGGGTTATTCCCATTTCCACAGGTGACTTGCGCAAGGTCATAGAACCTGTATGCGGGAGATCCCTTAAACATCGGGCTATGTGACTTCATTTATCAGATGAATGTGGGGGGATTCTGGGCTCTCATCTTTATGTCTGGGTCCAGTGATCCCTGGTTCTGGGAGAGATGTAATAAGATGCTGGAGGGGTAGCAGAAGGTGCCCCTCCCCAAGGTCTGGGCACACCCCCAGAGGCTGGCTCCCCAGCCTGGTTGTCTGGGTTCTGGGGGAAGGGATAGGGGTGAGTTAGGCTGAGTCAGCACACCTGGCTTCAGGCAAAGGCAGCCCAACTATGCTGAGGGCCTGTGCTTGCCTTGACGGCTTCTTTCTTCCACACCTGGGCTAGGATGTTTGGTGCCAAGGAGAGCAAAGATCCTGGGATGGCAGAGGAGGAGGAGGATAGGCTCCATAGTGGGGCAGAAAGTACCCCAGGCTTGGAACAAGACAGACCTGGGATTCTGTCCTGGCCTGGAACTTCTCCTCTGGGAGACCTTAGGCAAATAATTTACCTTCTCCCTGAACCAGTTTCTGTGTGTCTGTGTGTGTGTGTGTATGTGTGTGTGTGTGTGTGTTGGGCAGCTAGGGAGGAGATAGCTTCTGAGTATGAAATGAGGGGCCACATAGCACATAGTGGAGATCTGTACGTGTGTAATGGAGCAGATCTGCCCAGCTTAGGAGAAGCTGCCAGGACATAGCCCCCAGCAGTGTGGGCCTTTGCTTCTCCAGAGCATCACCATATGAGGAATCCCTGGAACCTCCCCGTCTCTCCACCATGGGCCCTGGGGAACTCCATAAGGGGAGAGATGGAGGAAGGGGCAGGCTTTTCATCCCAGGAACATTCCATTCTTGCTGCTCAGACCAGTGGGGATCCCAGCCAAGGACAAAGGCTCAAGGGAACCTCTGCTTACCCCAGGAGCCCCCACTCCTTCCAGGACAGGAGTCAATGGAGCCCAGTTCCATAATATTACCCCAGCACCTTCTCTCCATAATGGCCCCTCTTAAGGAGGTAGATGAAGGTTTTGGGTGGGGCTGGGTGGCTGTGGGGAAGAGGTCATTGAAAATCTTGAAATTGTTCTCTCCAGCGTCTCCCAGCAACTCTATGGATCTGAACTCCTGGGATTCTGTTCCTTCCCTGAGCACCTCCTCCAGGAAGACTTCTTCACTGGACCCTACGCAAGGCGGAGCCTCCGTACTTCACAAGGGCACTTGGTTTTACAGAGACGGGGCAGGATTCTGGGGAAGTTCCTGTATATGCATTTCTTTATGTATGCCACATTTGACTTTGGCTTATGTTGTACAATTGGAAGTCCCTGAGATGCAATCAGATTATTTAAGCGTGTAAGCAAACCTTTCCAATGTGAAAGTGAAAAGGATTTCTTTAAAAAATAGAGTCATCACTCTTAAACAAGTCACAACACGGCTTGGTAGCTGCCCTCGCTTCTCAGTCTAACAACTTGGAGACCTGTTTGAGGGAAACCAGTTTGAGAAATCCCTGTCGTCCTCATTCACTGTTCTTGCCCTGTCCCTGTGGGAACATGCCTGTGGCCCCTCAGAAACAGGATCAGCTCTGGCTCCTGAGGGAACACACCTCTTTCTGAGAAAGAGGTAGTGGCTACATAGTTCTAAGCAAAGTTTTAAATGAGAAAAGGAACCACACTTATTCAAATGTCCTGGTAATAGAGGGAAGAGGGTCACATTTACTCACCCACAACCCAGAACTTATAGAATTCTGCGAAATGAATGTATATTGAGTCAGTCCCCTGATTCATACATTCAGGAAGAATAAATTGCAATGATGTGAGACAACTGCATGTGGTTTTGAGTTTACTTTGCAAGTGTCCTTGCCAATTTTCCTTTATGTGTCTGTCACCACTCTTTAAGTTGGCAATTCCTCGAGCAGTTTCTGTTTAGTTTCATTTGACAGTCTTGGGACTGTTGACTGATTTGCAGACTGATTTCTTCCTTGACCTGGCTCAAAGCTGACTCTCTCCAGGAAGTCTCCCCTGATGAAGGCTGTGATGAGGAAGTTAGGGGTTGGGAATGCACATGTGAGATATGTGACTGGGAGGGAGGTTGTGCATGCTTGTGATAACCTGTCAGCATACGACCATGCTGGCAACGGTATGGACCTGTTTGTCACTCAGGGTCCCAGCAGGAGACAGGCGCACTCAAACTGGGCAGAGATTTAAAAGGGACTCTTTCCAAAGATGTGGGCTTAAGAAACTAACGAGGAATGGTGCCGCTCTCAGGGGATAGCAAAAGTTGGAAGCCTTTACAACTCCTGGCCCTAAGATGGGGGAGGGCAGGAGAGGGCAAAGGGATGAGAGGACAGCTGTGTGGAGAGTCCCTGACAGGAGCAGTGGCCTGTGACTGAGATAGATGAGTAAGACAACCTGGTAGGGAGGGAACAGGGGAATAAATACCCCATTCTTCTCCAATTTCCTGTGGGGCCTCTCATAGGCCAAACCCAACAGGAAGGTAGGAAACAGGGGAGTCATTGATGCACAGTTCCCAGAGGTCATCCTCCTCAGGGCAAAGAGCAGGGAGAAGGGTGGGGAGTGGGACTGGAGGGGCCAACACTTTGTAGCTGCTTGGGGGCATATCTCCGGTTCCCTAATGTTTACAGCAGGGCTTCTTTGCCCCTCTGGAGTCCCCCCACCTGCTTGGTCATAAGGGGTGGGTGGGTTGTTACTTGGAGAGCACTGTGGGGGATGGGGCTTTCCTTCCTCACCCTTCCCCTCTCTGGCTCTGGGATTTCCAGTTCTTGATAACTGCCTGTCGTGGCATCTTACATGGCTGCAGGAATTGTCCACAAGAGAACAAGGCCAGCCACTGAGTCCGTGTTTTTCTCCCACCCACTGTCCCACTCTTGAACATACCCACAGGCATGCCTGTTAGCACCGCAGGCCTCAGACATAGTCACCACAAGTCATGGCTGTTGTCACATGTACATCAAGAAAATGTCCGTCTGGTCACACTGATACACTCTGCCATAGTCATACATACAATGGCAAATGTCACAGAAATATAAACTGTCACTTGCCAACATGCCCTGTCACATATATGTATAGGAGACATACCATCATGCTCATCCATGGGACATCAGCATGTAGGGACAGGATGGTGCAGGGGTTAACAGCAAAGGCTTTGGAGTCAGCCTAACTTCTCTGATCTTTCTGGCATTAGTTTCCTGGTCTGTGACATGGAGATAATTCTTGCTCTTGTGGCGTTGTGAGATGAAATGAGGGGTACTGATCGGGGAGACCTAGCATAGTTTTGGCCGGGAGTAAAGCACTCTAGAAACAGTAGCTGTTACCGGGAACTCCTGTCTCTCTCCCATGCAGGTTACACATGGACACTAGTGAGCACGTGCACCTGCACAAGGCCAGTTAGACACCCTTGGGCGCATGCGCCCTCCCCAAACATGCCTCCTGGGAACATGTGCACATTATCAGACAAGCTCCCTCTGCCTGAACACTCTTCTCCCGATCTGCATGGCTTGCTTTCCACTACCTTTAAATCTGTGCAATCAAATGTCACACTTTCGATGAAGCCCACCCTGACTTCTTTTAAAATTCGCAAACTCCAGCTATTCCACTCCCTTACCCTGCTGTGTATATTTTTGAGCATCACTGACCTTCTAAGACTATATAATTTAGTTTATGATCTGTAATCTTCAAGAGGGCAGGGATCTTAGTCTTGGGTTTGCTGACATATTCCCAGTCACTAGAACGGGTAGCTGGCTCACCGGGGGCTGACTGCCGATATATGCACTTAAGTACCATTGGTTCCTGGCTTCTCACCTTCTGAAACAAACATATCCAGGTGAAGCCAGCTCCCTGCCCTAACAAGCTAAGCCTCTGTGCTTATACTGTGAGCATCCCCTATGCCCCCAAATCAGGAGCTTGGACAAACTCTGTCCCTCCCAGGACCTTAGTTAGGTGGGCATGGGCAGAGTGAAGACTATTTTAATCACCCAGCAAAGGAAGCCTTTCCACTCACCCTTCTAGCCATTTTGAGCCCAGCAGGGACCCATTGAGCAGGTGAGGTGGCTGGACTTACCCAGATGACCTGGGGCCTCCTCTGTGGCCTAGGTTTTTTTTTCACTCTGGCTGAAACCATCAAAGCCACCACTTCAGAGGCCACTAATGAGGATGAATATGTTAAGGGCTTTGCAATTCATGGATCAAAGGGGCTGGGTAAACAGTGGGAAGCGTCCAGGACCATGACTGGCTGATGCCCTGAGGGGAGAGCTTGACATTCACTCCCAGGCAGCCTGGTGTGGCCCCTGGTGTTGGAAAGGAGATGACAAACCTGCTTAGAACTAGTTGGAATGTGCCCTTCGGCATTTGGGGGTGACAGAACCAGAGGACTGAGGGAACCTCTCCCAGATAGGGTGGCCAAACCTGGGCTCAAGCTCTGGGGGTCCCTAGAAGTCCCCCAGTCTTAGCTGCCACTATTGGAGGTCGTCTCCAGTCTGGATTCACCCAACTTGTTTTCCACTTGCTTCCTGGGAAGGGATGGGGTAGAGTGGGCAGAAATGGGGCCAAGCAGCTCTGAGCACCACAGGGTGAGACCAGGTCCAGGATCATTTGGATTGTAGGTGGGAAACACTGAAATAATGACTCTTGACCAGGAGACTTGCTGAGGCAATGTGCAGGTGCAAGTCATACGTGTAGACATGAGCTCCTAGCACAGTTGTCAAGCTGGGGCTGGTGTTGATGGAAGAAGGGGCGTTCCCTCAGCCACAGCCCAGGACTCAGACCCCCCCCCCAAAGTCCCCTCCCACCATATAAGCCAGACTCAGGCTCGGGGAGGCAGTCACAGACCCCACAGCCATGGAAGGTCCTTCTCCCAGGAGAAAGCATGGTGCTAGGCTCAGTGTAGACAATTTTTATTGGCAGGTGTTAAGAGTGCAGAGGTGGGGCATGGTTCTCCTCCCCCAATTGAGGACCCTGTAACCAGACCAGTGGGGTGGGAACACTTGACTGTGGCCAATTTGGGCCCTGTACCCTCCTAAGAACAAGCTCCCAGGCAGGAGGGCTCCTCGTGACATGGGGGAAGGGAGCAACACCCTGGAAGGGTCTTAGGCTGTGTCCTACCCTAGGCCACTTGGTCCTGTCCACCACATACCTTGACTGTTCAAGTTAGGAGTGTTAGGGGACTGGGCCAAACATATCCCTCTCCAGGTATCTGTCTCGTACCTCCCTTTCCCTCCCCAGTGATTAGCCAGGTTGGACTACTAGGCCTGTGAGTGGCCCAGCCTGACCCAAAGTGACTAGTTCCCATAATGCACCATATGTTAGCCATTGTGTGGGCTGCAGACCCTTGGGGCTGCTGGGCTCACTATAGGCTGGCCCTAGCCAAAAAGACCCTTCTTAGGCCACAGAAATCAACCCACGATGATGGACATTGAGACTAACACCCCTAACATGCTTTGTCTCCTAACGGCAATTAACCCCCAAGACAAACAGCTCCTGCACCCCACAATCATGTTGGTCTAAAAGTGTGCTGCAATAAGCAAAGAACCCCAGCTTGGCCGTAAGCCCACAGAGGCCTCACTCAGGGAGTCTGGTCTGTTAGTCGAAGGCCCAACCCTGTAGCAGTGCTGGGCCACCTGGCACAGGCTGCCTGTCTCTGGTCATGCCCTCCACACAGGCCTTGAGGCCCCACTCCATCTGGGGAGACCCAGTCTCTCCTGACCAGGGTCTCAGTCAGTTACAAGGAAGCCAGGTGGGATAGCAGGAGTGGGCCCAGGCCAGCAGAGGCTGCACAGGGGTCACATAGTAATTGAAAGTGGCAGGCACAGCCCCATCAGGGCCTGGAGGGCGCCAGGCCAGGGCAGCGGCAGCCGCTGGGCCCTGCTCAGCCAGTGCCTGGAGTGCCATGGTGGCGATGAGGTCCAGTGTCTGGCGACGCTCGTGGCTCATGAGGCACACAGTGCTCTCGTTGACCACCTGATGCAGTGTCACCAGGCAGGCGTAGCGGCGGGCTGAGTCGGCCCCGCTGAAGTGGGCCTCCAGGTAGCGCTCCAGGGTGCGCTGCTGCTCCACCAGGTCCGGGAAGTCAATGAAGAACCGGGAGCACATGTAGCGTTGCAGGGCACGCACGTCGGTGCTGGGCCGTGGCCGGAAGCCACGCACCAGGAGGTGGCAGTACTTGAGGAGGCCGCCACCGCGGATCTCTTCAGGGTTGCGTGTGGCGATGACTCTGTGCCGCAGGTGCTCCAAGGCTTCGTTGAAGTCCCCGTACAGGCTCTCGCCCGTCACCGTTGGATGGAAGGCCTCAGACATGGGCGTGGATGAGCACTGGCCGAAGAGCAGCAGGGAGTCCAGCATGATCTGGAAGGAGTCTACGCTGAACTCGAACTGGCGCCTGACTGAGTCCACAAATTTGAGCTCCATGTTCTTGCCGCTCTTGTTGGACAGCGAGATGAGGCTCCAGCGGTCCGTGTCTGTGCACACTTTCACCAGCTTCTGCACGTAGGCCTCCTTGAGTGTCAGTGGCGTGATCTTGGCCCGGCTCACGCCAGCCGGCAGGAAGTCCAGCAGGCAGGCCAGCACCACCTCCTTGGTCAGCTGGAAGGATGCCTCGCTGCGCAGGTCCATGCGGAACACTAAGTCTAGGTCCTTATAGCCCAAGCCATTCTCGGGGTGCAGCACGTGGCTGGCAGCTGAGCCGTGTAGCCGCACACCATGCACGCGCAGTCCCTGTTCTTCTAGGCTGCTGCGGACGACCTGTGGAGGGGACAGCAGGAAGGAGAGGTGTCAGGAGCTTGTCCCCCGTCCCCAGGTCTGCTATGGGCT